CGCGGGATGCCCCACGTCATCCGGATCGGTAAGAGCTCCCCAGAGCCGGGGGTCTCCGTGCGCCGGGCGGGGGCGGGAATGGGGGCCTCTGGACACGACCCCAAGGGATTTGTCCACCCTTTCCTGGCTGTCAGGGCCGGGTGACCACCTGGAGCTCTTTCTACTGAGGACAAAGTTCCAAAGCCGGGGTCACAGGCCTTACTTATTGGGGAGGAGGCGGCCGGGCCGCGGGGGGCGAGGGGCGAGGGCGAGGGGCCCTTGGCGCGCTCCCGGGAGGCCAGACCTCGCAGAGGGCAGCGAAGCGTTCCAGCCCCAACCCGAGGAGCGGGCGCAGTTCCCGGCGACTGCCAGCGCGACCGGCTGCAGACCGAGTTCTGGGACCCGCTTCTCTGCGGAGCGGGAGCCCTGGGGAAGGCGCCAACTTCTCTTCCCTCCTCGCTCCCCTGGGCCCCTCGTCCCTGCCGAGGGCATGGCTCTAGCGGCCGCGGCGGGGACGCAGGGTACAGCTTCGCATGACGGGGCAGCCAGCTCCTCGCCCGGTGGCCGCCCTTGGCGTCGGTGGCCCGCATTCAGCCCCATGGCGTGGGGCAGAGGAGCGGCAGCCGTGCGGTTCGCTCCGGCCGCCCCTCCCGGCGGAGGCCTCTCCGGCCTGGGGGCAGCGCAGGTGGGGGAAGGGAGCAATCGAGCCTCCAGCGCGGAGAGGGAAGGCGAGGAGAGGGACGCGAGTGGTTTGTAAAGTTAGCGGAAATCCCCCCGCAGCTGGCGGCTGCTGGCGGGGCTGCGCGCAGCTTTCTGAGGCTCCTGCGTCTCCGCATCTCTCCTCGCCAGAGACTCTCACTCCGGCTTTAACTTTGTTGTGGCCGCCCCAGCACCCTGAAGGCATTGCTCTGGGCTGTAAAACCGGAGACCTGGGCCGCCTGGGTTCGCGAGGCGCCATCACCAGTGTCTGGCACGAGGCGGGCAGAGCTTTGCTGAGCCAGAGCTACCTTCCTCCCAGGTGCGGCCCCTGGGTTGCCAGAGGGCGCAGGGAACCTATGTCGGGTCTGGTTTCGTACTTGAGGATTTTCCCAGGAGGCGGTCAGATCGTGGGAACCTGTCTCCTCCGTAGCTCTCTCCTGGATCCCAGACTCTGGCACTCGCTCTCTGGATGGTGGTAGACGCACTGCCCTGGCTGGGGCTTTCATTCATGCCCAGGATCCCAGCAGGTGCACAGGGGAGGCAGAGGAGCCCAGTGACTGTGCTCTGCGGACAGCCCTCACTTAAGGCTTAAACCCTTTGCCATCCAGGGTGTTCCTGGCAAGCCAAAAATATCTTCTGTCTCTGCCCCAGTGCCCAGTTTGGTCACCATTCTAGGGGCACTCAGCCGCGCAGTAGTGGGCCAGCCCTTTCTTTATTCCCTTCTTCCCTCCCTCTGTTCTTTTGGGGCCTGCATGGTAGGGTGCCCCCAGGAGAAAAGGGGGGAGGAAAGATGCTATGTGCTCAGCTCACGCATTGCAGGATCCTCTTTCCTCTGCAGGGGTGGGATGGGCATGCTCCCAGCCCAGCCTTGGGGATGGAGGTCTTTGGGGGCCCACGAAGACAGGAGCAGGGGAGGCCAGCCCTGGAAGAAGGAGCGGAAGGGGGCAGGACCATGTCCCTCACCTGCCCCTCACGCTGTGGAATTGACTTGCACCAGGGGACTCCACACTGCCCTGAGGGGAAGCCTCAAGCCCCCCTGCCCTTTCTTGGGTTCAGTGTGTAATAATGCAATTAAGGATGGCAAAGCCCTCTTCTCTTCTAATCTTCTTCGTATTAAGCCCCAGGATTAATTAGCGTGTCGGCTCAGGCCATTTATATCCGAGAGTCTGGCCCCATTTGATTTTCAGCCCGAGGACTGGGGTGCTGTGCGCATGCCAAGTGTGACCACCAGAGCCGCGCCAGCCTGGACAGAGGATGGGAAGGCTCCGGGGCCACTGGGCTTCTCTGGAGCTTCCTGGGGAGTTGAACTCCCATTCTCTGAGCCCAGGCTCAAGCCTCAGCTGGCGTCAGGGAACTACAGTGGACACAGCACAGAGAGAGAAAGATCCTCTCGCTGAAACCCAAACATACCGCCCTGGCTGGGCCCCGTGCCACCTCCCTTCTCTCCTCCCTCCCCACCGCTGTGATCTCCAGGATCTGGCGGGAGCTGCAAGAATTGAGGTCCCAGAAATTGGGCTCAGAAGTGTGCTGTGTGCTGTGGTTCCTGAGACAGGTGCCTGAGCCGCTTGGAGCCGATTCCTCCTTCAGCAGGCAGGCAGGCAGGCAGGCAGGCTTGGCGAGCACCAGCCAGGCAGAGGGTTCCCTGCAGGTGTGCAAAGGGCTCTGTGGGCTGGGGAGCAGCGTACCGCCCCCTCTCTTTGTTCCTCTTTTGGGGGCTGAAATTTCCTCTTAGACAAGGAGATGGATAGCTCAGCAGTGTGACAGAGTGTTCAAACAATCCGTCTTGAATAGATGAATTGCATTGCTCTGTCTTTTTGTAATTGTGTCTATCAGAGGGAGAGGTCAAGGCATTGATTGCTTGGATGGTTTGCAAGTAACAAAGGAGAGTGAGGGAGAGAGAGTAATTGGATTGTAGTCTGCGGGTGGAAAAATGATCATTGATTATTTTATATGAATATGTGGAAGATGTATTCTACGTGTGATTACCAGGTACTGCTCACTGAAGGTTTTCAAGGCGTACTGTTCAGTATTTTGTTACTATTATTATCATCGCTATTATTGTTTAGTGCATGGAAAGCTGTTGAATGCATGGGTCTTCTCAGCCAGAAGGGCTCAGTGACCTCATGTGGGGACCTGGATTTCCTGGTTACATGACTCAGAACGTGAAGTGGAGGGGCCTTCGCCTGGGAGCCAGGAGCCCTGGGTTTTTTGCTCTATCTTCTGCCAGTTTACTGGACCACCTTGTTCAAATCGTATCCTCTCTCCTAACCTTGATCGAGCCTATTTCCCGATCTGTAAACTGTTGGGTTGGCCGTGATGGTCCGGGCTATTCTGAGGCTTCCAGGTTCCCTTTAGTGCAGGCTGGCGGGGATGTCGGCACCATTGTAGATCTGTTGCTTAGATTCGTTGTGTTACATGAGGCTCCCTCATGTTACATACATACTGTAGGATCGAGGGCCAGCCTGGAATTTGAAAAGGGAATCAGGCAGCGGTGGCAGCAGCTGGGGAGCTCGAATGGATGGTGCTGATCTCTAGCCAGCCAGGGGTGAGGTTCAGAGCCAAATGACTGCAGAGACATAAAGCAGGTGTGTGTGTGTGTGTGTTTGTGTGTGTGTGGGCTGGCTCAGCTCCCGACTCTCTGAGCATCTGCAGGCGAAGTAGATTAGAGCTATGAGCCCCCCTGATCCTCGGCTCGGGGGCCCAGCAGGCACCTGCAGTCTGTCCCAGGGGAGTGAGGTCCCCTCCCCCAGAGTTCCCAAACCGGCCCCGTCTGCATCTCCTCCCATGATTTCACCCAAATGGTCCTGAACGTTTGTCTCCTGAGTTTGGGAGCCGCTGCCTGTAAAACAATGAGGAATTTCTCGCAGTGACTGCTGATGTGCTGAAACATCACGGCCTTGTAGAAGCAGACAGGAGCTGAATGAAGATCAATAGGGGTTTCCCCCCTGGAAGTAAATAGCTTCAGACCTGGGAGTGGCCGGAGGGGCCTTCGAAAGCATTGACTTGAGGAATTCCTGCCTCCACTTTCTAGCCCAGCTGCTCCTGTCAGCCCAGGCATCCCTCCTTCTCAAGCTGGAGTTTAATTTCTTCTCGATGCCTGCCTTGTGCTGCGCTAAATAGTCTCTTGACGTCAGGATGATCTGGGGTTTATGCAGGCACCGAGTCCTCACTAGACCCTTCCAAGGTCACTGCATCCCCCTCCCTCGGGCACTCCGGCTGATTTCAGAAGCCCAGCCCTGCTGTGTCATTGGGAAGGACTTTTCAGGGGCCACTCCTATCCCCTCCCCCTTGAAGAAAGCAAGGCTGCTTAGCTGCTTTTAGGATCCTTTGTGGGCCTCACTGAGTCACTGCGTTCCAGGAGCACTCTCTGTCCCTGCCCCAGGAAACAGAGTCCACTCCGTGGCGGGGGAGGGGAGGGGGGTGTGGGGGGTGGGAGAGGCACGGACGCCTCTATGGACACTAGAACAACCTCTCCTCTTGGGGGAGGTGCAGGGTTGTATGTAGAAGAGGCTGCAGGACTGCTTGGGGTGCTCTTTTAGGGGGAGATATGGTTGTGTTCAACCACAGAGGCCAAGCTTCCCCCACCCTGTAACTAACAGCTGCCCTTGCCTCTGCCTCCCATGGTTTTAGCTTGAGCCCCGCTTGCTTGCTCAGGACCCTCCAGAGGGAACAGAGAAAGCCGCTGCTCCACTTGGCTGGGCAGCAGCAGAGGGGAGCCCGGAGCTCCCAGACCCTGCCTGGCAACAGAGAGGACTGCAGCTCCAGGCTCAGGGCTCTTCCTCTGGGGCCTGCACCCAGCAGGCCCTGCTTGTCTTCCCCAGGCTGGTGTGATGGGGTTGGAGCTTTGGCTGGGTGGGTGGGCCCAGGGCCTGATTGATGCGATGGGGGCCTTGTGTGAGCTTATGGGCTTGAATAGCTCTTCTCCCAGGTGCTGATCCCCAGCAGTTGCACCAGGGGGCAGTGTGTCTGTGCCCAGGTGGCTGGTTGGGCCATGTCTCCTGCCTGGGAACCCACCTTGGTCTGCAGCACAAATTAGTAAAACAACAATACACTGGCCCCAAGTTATTTGAGCCCGTATTCACTGCTAGGCACTGTGCTAAGTGCTTTTCACACAATGACTAGTGATGTGGGTGAATAGTGCATGTTCAATAAGTGTAGCTGTTGCATTTCCCCCATCAGCTTATGTAGTCTTTACCACTCTCCAGGCATTATTCCCATTTTGCAGATGAGAGAACTAAACGTGGTGAAGTCACTTGTCCAAGCTCACACAGCCAGTAAGTGATACGGCAGGATAAGAACTCCCCTCCTGTCCTGACTCCAGAGCCCGTGCTTTTAGCTGCCTGTGTAGTT